TATATAATATATACACTTGTATGTATATATGTATACATATATATATATACACGATATATACAAGTATATATCCATATATATCCATGTTTATAGTGACACAGTTTTCAATAGCTAAATCTTGGAAACAATCCAAATGCCTGTCAACCAATGAATGGATAAAAAAGATGTTTATTTGTTTTTTTTAATAGAATGGAGAATTAAACCATAAAGAATACGCTTGAGACATTCATAGCTAAATGAGCCCAACTTGAGACTATAGTCCTAAGTGAAATAAATTGGACATGTATAAATATTGCATTGTCTCTGCTGTGAGAAACTAAAAGTGCAGATAAGGACCAAAATACATAATAGATAATGTGAAATAGGAAGAAATTATTCAAGAGTGAAGGAGAACTAGGAAGAGGAAAGGAAGGAAGGGAAAAATGAGAAAAGGAAAAATGGAAACAAAGCTTTTGTAAATAAGGGAAGAGTAGTTGAAAAGAAGGGAGGGAAATGGGAATAAAAAGAGGAATCAAGATATATACAGGTACAAATTTCCTATAGTGAATGTGATCATTATGTATATGCAAATTGTACCAATAAAATTTATTTTTTAAACTGCTCTTAGCAGATATTTTCATATACATCCACACTTCAAAAAGAAAATCCTTTTACACCTGGCTCTCCCTGATTCAGTCAAGGAAACCAATACTCTTCATTTCCACGTAGCAAATGGATATGCCACATGAAAAGCCTTTTTTTATATGGTCTCCTGCTTTCTATGAAACTGGATTTTAACTTAGAAGGGTAAAATAGTAACAGTAATGCTAATTTTTTTTTATTTGCACTTACTTTACAAAGTGCTTTTCAGTGTCACATGTGACATTTATTCCTCATTCATCTAATCACCCCTGCAGTTGGACTGGGGAGGTAGAAATAAATAGAGGAACTATTGTGATCTCAGAATAGCGCAGAAGCTCAGTGGGCTACCTTGGCCTTTTCGGAGTCCCCTGGCAGACAGGCGGCTGGCATGACTTGGACTCCCTATTATCCATGGCTCCTACAAAACTGCAGCTGCCTGTGGCAGGAAAAGGGCCAATGTAGGGAGTAGTGGTGGCCTGGCCTCTATCCTTACAGAGCAAAAGAAGGGGGAGAGAAGGGCTTGCCTTCTAGGTAGGGTATCAATGTTCTAGAAATGAACAGTTTTATCTGGGGTTGTGCTAACAAGGTACTGTATAAGGAATTATACCCCACTACTCAACTTAAGAAACAATGGGCCATTCTTTAAGGTCTTCATGTTGTGCCTTTAGCCACTTGTGTAAAGGATTCTCTCCCTATTAGAGTAAGAGCTCCTTAAAAGCAAGAGCTGGGTCTCCCTTCTTTGTCTGCTCTGTAGTACTGAGCTCAGTAAGTGACAGGCATTGAGCTGAGTGCTACAGAGCAGATCAAGAAGGGAGGGGTCCAGGATTTAGCTCTGGTTCTGCTGCCTGCCTCACAAGTGCAAGGTCCTGAGTTTGATCCCTGGTACCAAAACAAAAACAAAAACAGAAATAAGGGAGACCGCCAACCCTTTTAAAGGGAGATTCTAGTGTAATAGGAAGAAAGTCTTATATATAATAGTCTAAAGGTTACTGAGTTTTTGCAAGATGATGACTAATCTAATTGTGGACTGGCTATAGTCACTGTAAGACACCAGATTTGGAGGGGTTAGGGAGACCATCGTGGGGGTGTGGAAGAACAGGGTGGTGTGTTGGGATGGGTGATTTTTAACTTTTTGTTTCATCTCTGTTGGCACTTGGGATTTTTGACAATTGGAACTCTAGACCAAATGGGTGTGGCTTCTCATGTTTATTTGTTTAAATAGCTATGGAGAGTCTGTCTCTGACCAGAAACATGAAGAGTCATGCCTTTGAGGAGTTCCTTTCCTAGAAAGGGCGAGATAGATAGGGGCCAAAATAATGAGGGGAAAAGAAAAAAAGTCTGCCTCAGTTCTAAAGTGGAATGAATGGAGAGTAGTTCCCACTTGCCAAAGGCAGAATTGAAATCTCTCCTGACAAGGATAGTCAATAGAGAATCTCACCTAGTCCAAACCCTCGAATAATCCCTTTGAATTGGAGCTGTTGGTAGACCTCTTGGATGGAGGATACTGAAGACCAGAGAATGTCTTTCCTGAGGTAATTATATTTTCATAGCAAGTTCTGCATTGTAGCCCTGGTCTACAAGTCTGTGAGACCCCTTCTCTGGGATTCTGTAATCTCTCTTTGCAACCAGTAGCAACTCTGGGCCTTTTGTACATCTGCAGTTGCTTCTGCCCAGTGCTTCCCTGAGCTTAAAAGTGGCCTGAAGGAAATGGGTTGGTAAGGATCAGCTAGTGACGTGTTTCACTGACTTGTGCCCCCGAAGGGGCTGGCTCAGTGAGCCAAGCATATGGAGTGGGTTGTTTTTCTCTACATTTCTCTTTCTTTAAGGTTCCACTTATGCTTCACACCACATATACCTGTGAAAACAAACCCTACCCAGGTGCTTGCTCACCAGTATCTATCTATTTTTGTTTCTCTCATCTTCAGACTACACTTCCTGACTGATGATGTTACACCACCTGGAAGCCTGAGGCTGCACTACTACCTGAATATTCCTGAGTTTTCCCCATCACCATGGAGACTCAAAAGAATGATGCTGCTCAGACCAAGGGAGTGGCAACTTCTGAGGATAACCAGGACCAGGAGGCAGAGAAAGGAGCTGAGAACAAGACAGATATGGTAACAGAAGGGCTAGTGTCAGAGCGACATTCATCTGGCCCAGGTAGACTGAAGAAAACTGCTATGAAACTCTTTGGCGGCAAAAAGGGAATCTGTACTCTGCCTAGTTTCTTTGGAGGGGGGCGAAGTAAAGGTTCTGGAAAAAGCAGCTCCAAGAAGGGTTTGAGGAAAAGCAAAACACATGATGGCCTGAGTGAAGCAGCCCATGGCCGTAAAGATGTTGTCAGTGAAGGAACTGGCTTCTCCCTACATTTTCCTGAATCACCCTGCCGATTTCCCAGCTCCCAGAGTGTCTATGGAACTTTGGAGACAGGCTACAGGCATAAAACATCTGTGGCTGGAGCTGACACGCTGCCCCCTTTACCAAAGCCAAAGAAGGGCTTAAAAGGTTTTTTTAACAGTATCCGCCGTAACCGAAAGAGCAGGGCTGCTGGAGCTGAGCAAAGTGAGCCAAATGCCAAGGCACCTGAGGGAGCCAGATCTGGGTCTCATGAGCACGTGAGCTTAGTCCCTGTGCCCTGCTCTGAAGAGAGCTGCCAAGCCACTACAAAGGAAAATGCCAAACCCCAAGATGTTCTGGGGCCAAAAATTTCTCCAGCGCCAGAACCTTCTCCACCAGCTACTGAAAAGATAGCCTGTAAAAATTTAGAAAATTCCATAGGTATCTCTGCCTCATCACTTGTGCTACCCAAGCTTGTCCCTGAATCCAGTATGCTAGAGGAGTCTCATAGGCAAACAGGGGAAAAGATAGTAGCAGGAGAGCTGAATCCACCCAAAGGCCCTGTGGGGGATCAGTTGAGCCTCCTGTTTGGGGATGTCACATCCCTGAAAAGCTTTGACTCATTAACAGGTTGTGGTGATATTATAGCAGAACAGGACATGGACAGTATGACAGACAGCATGGCTTCTGGGGGTCAGAGAGCCAACAGAGATGGGACCAAGCGAAGTTCCTGCCTTGTGACCTACCAAGGAGGTGGAGAAGAGATGGCCTTGCCAGATGATGATGAAGAAGAAGAAGAGGAAGATGAGGAGGTAGAATTGGAGGAGGAAGAGGAAGTCAAGGAAGAAGATGAGTTAGATTATCTGTGGGTAAATGCCCAGATGTACCCAAGGCCCAATCTTAACCTGGACTACCATTCCACCACATCCCCAGCCCATCACAGCTACATGCTCCTTGAACCAGTTCAGTCCTACCCTGGTCTAGCCCCTGGGGAACTTTTGACTCCTCAGAGTGACCAGCAAGAGTCTGCCCCCAATAGTGATGAAGGTTATTATGACTCTACTACACCTGGATTTGAGGATGATTCAGGTGAGGCCCTGGGGCTTGTCCATAGGGATTGCTTACCCAGAGACAGCTATAGTGGAGATGCCCTATATGAGTTTTATGAGCCAGATGACAGTCTTGAGAACTCTCCACCTAAGGATGACTGCCTTTATGATCTCCATGGTCACAGCTCTGAGATATTTGACCCCTTCTTGAACTATGAGTCCTTTTCTTCCTCTCGGCCACCTGGGGCAATGGAGACAGAGGAAGAACGGCTAGTGACCATCCAGAAACAGTTGTTGTACTGGGAACTTCGTCGGGAGCAGCTTGAGGCCTGGGAGACATGTGTTCAAGAGGCTCATGCCAGGAAACCCCACACTAGAAAGACCTATACCCAAGAGGCTCATGCCATGGAGGCATGTGCCCGAGAGGCTCAGACATGGGAAACTCATGCCAGAGAGGCGCGAACCCGAGAAGCCCAGGCCTCAGAGGGTCGTGATCTAGAGGCTGAAGTCCTAGAGGCCCAGGCCCGGCAAGAGAAGCCTATTTTGGAGTATGAGTTGAGGCCCTTAGGCCCATCAGTGATGGGCCTGATGGCAGGAGCATCAGGAGCCTCTCAGACTTCCCACCAAGGAACCACCTCAGCTTTCCCTGCCACTGCGAGCAGTGAGCCAGACTGGAGGGACTTCCGTCCTCTGGAGAAGCGTTTTGAGGGCACCTGCTCCAAGAAAGATCAAAGTACCTGTCTGATGCAGCTTTTCCAGAGTAGTGCCATGTTTGAGCCAGACGTGCAAGAAGCCAATTTTGGAGGCTCTCCCAGGAAGGCCTACCCAACTTATTCGCCCCCTGAGGAACTAGAAGAGGAGGAGGATGAGAAGGAAGGGAATGTCACTGTGAGTTTCTCACAGGCCCTAGTGGAGTTTACTAGCAATGGAAACCTTTTTTCTAGCATGTCTTGCAGCTCTGACTCTGACTCCTCCTTCACTCAAAACCTCCCTGAGCTGCCCCCCATGGTGACCTTTGACATAGCTGATGTGGAGCGGGATGGGGAAGGGAAATGTGAAGAGAATCCTGAGTTTCATAATAATGAAGACCTTGCAGCCTCCTTGGAAGCTTTTGAGCTGGGCTATTACCACAAACATGCCTTCAATAACTATCACAGTCCATTCTACCAAGGCCTGTCCTGGGGTGTAAGCAGCCTCCCTCGATACTTAGGGCTACCTGGCATGCACCCACGACCTCCACCTGCCACCATAGCTCTCAACAGGAGAAGCCGCTCTCTTGACACTACAGAGACCCTGGAGCTGGAGCTCTCCACTTCTCAGTTGGCCCGGGCTTATCTGGATTCTGATGAGCTTCAGGCCCAGCAGGAAAATTCAGATGAAGAAGATGAAGAGGAGAGAGAATGGGGCCGAGTCAGTCCCCTGTCACTCTATACTGAACCCCCAGGGACTTACGACTGGTTAACCTGGGCTCCCCGTCCTCTCCCAGTGAGACCAGAGCCTGCCTGGGTAAACACCAGCCAGTTGGATGGGCCTTCCAGCCAGTCTCTCTATGGGCAGGGATCCTGTTGTGTACCTCCTGTAGCCATGTCATTATCAGTGCCAAGGCCAGAGCCAATAGCATCTGGGGAATCCAGGCCTCAGTTAGCTCGGCCTGTACACCTACCACTGCCCATGGTCCCTTGCTATAACCTCCAGCCACAGGCCTCTCAGAGTATAAGAGCCAGGCTTCAAGATGTGTTAGTGCCAGTTGATGAGCCCAGTTGCTCCTCCAGTACTGGAGGATTCAGCTCTGGAACTGTGCACCAGGCTAAACCTGTGGGCATCACTCATGGTGTCCCTCAACTGCCTATTGTCCAGCCCCAGTCCCCCCAGCCTCAGCCCAGTCACTACAGGGCTTCCAAAGGCTTCCACCTTGAATTGCCAAAGGAGAAGACTGAGCATGGTGCCTCTCTTCCCACCAGCTTCTCCACTGCCATTAATGGAAACTTAGTCAAGTAGTCATCATCAGTTCTGGAGTAGAGGCGTGGGTCCTGAGCATGTGAATGGGGATCATGCGTTGGACAGAAGGGTGGGGTGGGGATTAACCTGAAAATCGTTTTGTCAAGGAAAACTGGGTTTTCACCTTTTTTTTTCCCTTTCCCACTTCTGCTATTTATGGTTACATTCAGCTCAAGTACATCTGCCCAGAAAGGCTACTGCTGCTGTGCTTGTTTTTGTTTTCAGGGTTTCTTTTTGTAACCATTGCAGGGTTTGGGATGCTCTAATTTTGTGCCTATTCAAGTTGCCAAGTTAGTG